GAGGCAGCGGTGGGACTGATACATCTCCAAGCCAAGGACCCCTGAGGATCACCAGCAGCCACCAGAAGATGAAGAGAGGCCTGGAATACATTCTCACTCACAGAGCCCAGAAGAAACCAGCACTGCCGACCCCTGGCCTCATAACTGGGAGAGAATATAATTCTGCTTAAGACACCAGGTTGTGGCACTTTATTACAGCAGCCACAGGAAACTCATATTCTGGGGCCCTCTCTGAGCCTCAGTTTCCCCATCTGTACAATTAGGTTAGTTGGAACAGCTTCCTCATGGCCAAGGTGAGTCAACAGTGCCAGGGTAAAGCTCCAGCACAGGGTCTGCTGGGGAATGACTGCCATGGTCCTAGTGACTAGTTGGCACCTCCAGGTCTTGGCCAGGCTGCACCTCAGTAATGTGGGAAGGAGAAGGGAGCAGCACAGCCACAGGGCATTTCCTGTGATGTCCCATGGGCTGCTGGGTCTACTGGACAGAGGACAATGGGCTGGGATGGTTGGAAGAGGCTCCTGGGAGCACCATGGACATGGACAGGCCCCCGGGGCTGGTTAAGTAAGGAGGCAGTGCTGAGGCAGGGACCTGGGCAGGAATGGCTGGCAGGCCAGCTCCAGTGCTGCCTTGCTGTGCCCATGGGGTAGCAGCTGCTTGCTGTCAGGGTGTGTCCACATGCCATGTGTTACTAACTCTTACTTTCCAGGTAGGAACATGGAGGCTGCACAGCTGCAGCCAGCAGCACCTGGCACCGAGGGGAAGAGGCCTCCCTGACGTGCAATGCTCGGAAACATTTCAGCAGGTGCACAAAGCAGGATGCAGGGCGGCTTGCAGGGCATCCCATCTGGGTAAGGGAGTCAAAGCAACCCACATCTGGGCTGGGTGTCCCAGAAGTCAGGGAAAAGCAGTGCAGTGATGGGCTGAGGGGTGGGGGGGGCACAGGGAGCATTCTTTCCAATGACAAACAAATGTAAATGAGAATCAAAGAGGGAGAGAGGCGCATCTCCAGGAGTGCTCAGGGGCAACCTGCCTCATTCCCCCCACCCCCGCCCCCCAGAGGCTCCGACTAGGGCTTGCCCTGCGTGAGGTTTGGCTCTGTAATGGCAGTGACCCTTGATGCCAGCCTTCAAGGCTCCCTACATGGAGAGCTGCTCAGAGTCAAGGGCCCCAGCCCCACCCCCATCTCCATCTCCATCTCCATCTCCAGGTGAAGGACCAAGGAGACCCACCCTCTACACTGATCCCTGGACAAAGACTCACCTGGGGCCAACCTCTCAGGCAGGGTCTTTCCCCAGTGAACCTGTTGCCCTGCTTGGCAGCCATGGGGTCCCTCCCAGGTCTCATTGATGTCATGGTGGTCTTATGGCTAAAGTGGGTAAGCGCTGGACAGATGGGCCAAGCCAGTGTGGGCCAAGTTGGGGGTGAAAGTTTGTTTGCTTATTCATTTGCCCATTCATTCATTCATTCATTCATTCATTCATCCATCCATCCATCCATCCATCCATCCACCATCCATCCTGAACATTTCTTTTGTCTCTGACTGCAAATTTTAGAGCTGGCTGGGCCTCCAAGCCCTCGTTTCCAACCGTGGAAACTGCTACTGGATCAGGGAGGGACTTGTGTAAGTTAACACAGCAGGTTGGTGCCAGAACCAACTCTCAAGCTCCCGCCAGGCTCTGTGCCCTCTGTGTCCTTCCTGAAGCTCCCACCCCCAGAGTCCAGCCACCCTGTCCCCTCTCCAGCCTGCAAGAAGCTCCCCTAACACAAGCAGGAAAGGGTCGCCACACCCCATTGACACCCCCCCCCAGAAAGAGTGAATACCGCCTGGGGCTGATAGGACGATCTGGGGCAGGAGGTGCTTGGGGGAGAGAACTGGGACCCATCAGCTGAGCTTGATAAGGGGCCTGCTGAAATGTGAGCAAAAATATTTAGACATTAAATGAAGTATCAGAAAGGAGTGCGTATCTTTAAGAAATCAATCATCTTGTACGTTGAGTCTGGACACTTGGCGCCAAGGCAGAGATAGCGCCTGCTGGGGAGATAAGGGTTAATCAAGGATTTAATTCTGCTGCAGATAAAGCTGCAGGGAAGAGCAGGCGAGGCTCCTTCCTCCCCGGGCTCCTCCACAAGAGCCTCAAAGGTTGCTGGCTTCTCTGGTGCTCGCTCCCTCGCTCCCCTCCGACATTATCTCTCTGCCTGGAGGGCGTTTCCAAGCCTCATGCCAAGTCTCCCCAAGCTGACCTGTGCCCCAGGCCCAAGGAGGGCACAGCCCCCAGTGAGGAGGCTGCAGGTGGGAGGGGAGGGGCCCTGTCTCTGGGCCCTCAGCCCTATCCTTACGGAGCCTGCAGGGGTCTCTGGGCTTGGGCAGACATGGGTTCCAATTCTCCCTCTGCTATTTGATCTGGATGGCCCTGGAAAGTCACTTAGCCTGTTTCCTCATCTGTAGAACAGGGGCAGCAGTCCCTGCGTCAAAGGACGCGAGGTGTGTGTAAGCATGGACACGCAGCAGTGTGGGGACAGAGTCTGGAACACACACCCATCCATTGTGGAAGGGGCTGATTACCCCCAGGAGGAAGCAGAGGAGAGAGGTGCAGACTCCGCTCAGAACATGCTGAGACCCCCAGCCCTCAGTCACCCGCCTTTGTCCTGTTACTGCTCATAAGTTTTGACATTGAGAGTTCAAGAGAGACCAGGCCACAGAGCACCCAGCCTTCCTCTCCTCCTTCCAACTATTAACTGGCCCCCAACAGCCTACCCTCTGAAGAGTCAATTGCTGCTTGAATGCCTCCAGTGACAGGAAGCTCACTGCCTCCAAAGACTGCTCTAAACACCACAGCCTCCATCCCACAGTGGAGCCCAAATCAGGCTCCTTCCAGGAAACCAAAATCCATCCTGGAGCTTCCACTGTTCCTCTCTGCTTGGAGCCAGAGGACAAGAGGATCATCCCTACTGCAGGGCTACTGGCTCTAGTGCCTACGGAGCCCTGCCCTGTGGTAGGCACCACTTGTGGATCATCTCTCCTTTAACCTGCCCAGCTGCCCTGGGAGGGGTGTGTTGCTGGCTCCCTCACTTCACAGATAAGCTGTAGCTCCTCTGAGGGGAGGCTGGAGGGTCTGCAGGCTCAGGCTTCAAGGACCCTTCAGGATTTTCCTGTGTCCCCCCCAAGGTCCCCAAAGGTGAGGAAACAGAAGCTCAGAAAGGTCAGGGACCTGTCTGGAGCACACAGCAAAATAGCCATGAGGTAGGAGACCCAGAATCCAGACACTGTGCCATGGGGGAGGCTCAGCCACAAGGTGGGCACCCTCAGTCCTAGGTCAGCCTCTCACCAACTTGCTGAGTGGTCTGGGCAAGCATCTGCCTTTCTGAGCCTGACTGCTCTTCTGTGACAGTGTGGTCAGCCTAGGGGGTCCTCAGCTGGGATGCACATGTGGACCCTGGGAGACATCTCCAATCTCTTGAGGCCCAAGCCCACAGATTCTGACACAAGGTGACCCATAGCCCAGGTTTTATCACCCACAGGAGAGGGTGGGGGCTATAAGTGCTGGTCCAAGTGTCTGCAGCTGGGGATTCTGCCTGCAATCCTATCAGCCTTCAGACACTACTGTAGCTGAGTTCCTGGGGCCCTGGTTTCCGCAGCTGAGAAACAGGGTCTCTAACTGCCAGGTTGGAGCTGGTTAGAGCTGTCAGGGCAGCATTTAGCTTCCACTGCCTGATGACTACTTGGAGACTGATTGGAGGCCCACACCTGGGGTCTTGGGACCAGGAGACCCTCAGTACCACAGGGCACCCACCAGCTAGTGTGTACCCTGGATCAATCCATACCTGAATGCCACATCAGGAACCAAAAAGGGCCCAGGCCATGGCTGTGCCTGCACATTTAGAGCACCTGAACCTGGGCTTGAGGGGACCAACCTGGGGCGCCACCCAGCCTCCCAGGCAAGGGCCATCAGGACTAGGAGGTGTTTCCTGACTACTCATCATTCATATGCCCCTCAGTTACCATCATACCATATGCTGCCCAGAAGCTACCCCTTGCTTACTTACTCATTTCTCATAATTGATGTCCTTTCTTAACTGAAATGTATTTTAAAAGGAACCATTAGCTCTGGTTGGTGTGGCTTAGTTGGCTGGACTTTGTCCTGTGCATGGAAAGTTTGCCAGTTCGATTCCTGATCAGGGCACATGCCTGGATTTCAGGCTCGATCCCTGGTAGGGGGTGTGCAGGAGGCAGCCAATAGATGTTTCACTCTCACATTGATGTTTCTCTCTCTCTCTCTCTTCCCTTCTTCTCTCTCTAAAAATAAAAAAACCTTTTTTTAGAAAAAGGAGCCTCTGTACCCCTGTAAGAGGAGGCCAGATCACCTTGCCATACACAGAAGGTAGCTCAGAAGTAATACCAAGAGAAATGACGACCTGGTAGTTTTCTCATCTAGTGGGAAGGTGCTGCCCAGGCGGGGATTCTTAGTTAAGGAGGGAGATTAGAAAGTGCTGAAGTGCTGATGACACTCAGGCACCAAAGGTGCCCTCTCCTTGTCCTCAGAAGGACCCACAGGGACAAAAACAGAATGGATCTCCACTAGGGGGGCCCCTGCCCATAAAGTCCCGGGGTGGGGGTGATGTCCCTGACTTCTGCCCCAGCCACACACAAGGTCCAGTCCCACCACTTGGTTCCTTGTTGTTCCTCTCCTCGAAAGCCCTTCTCCTTTTCTGCCTCACCAGCTTCTACTCATCCATTAAGGGCTCACTTTAAAAACCCTCCTCCAGGAAGCCCTCCCTGTCTCACCCAAGGTCCCTTAGGCCCCACATCACCTCCTCCAGGAAGACCTCCTTGTAATCTCAGTTAACTCTCTCTGACCTCCTGGTCCCAATAGCCACATCTTCTGATGTATTTTACATGGAGTGGTGGGAGTTCCCTCCTGGGCCTGTGTCCTAGGTGGGATGCTGCCCTGGACCCTGCCCTGTGGCCAGTGGGTGGGCTAGCTGTGGTTGGGTCTCCTTACCGGTTCTGTCTGCCCAGGAGATGAGGCTCTGTTCTGGATGCTCCCGCGGAATGGGCCCCACAACAGGCCCTCAGCAAGGCTGCGTCGAGCCCGCACGCACTTCTGCCCATCCTGCAGGACCTGCTCCAGCTCGTCTGTGGGGAGAGATGTTAAAGGTGTGAGGGGTCCCAGCCATGGTGACCACCCAGCCCTGCTGCCTGCCCGGGTCCAGCCTACCTCGGCAGCCCCAGCCCCCTGGGAGCAGTCAGGAGGCTGCAGGGCAGAGGAGGGAGTACTGCCCTGTGGGTTGGGCCTGAGGTACAGGGATGGAGGCTGCTGCCGGGTTTTGGGGGCCAGCCCCTGTGACAAGGCCTTTCCTGGAGACAATGGGCTACAGGGCTAGGACACTGAGGGGTGCTTTGGGCCGGATTTGAGGAGGCAGGGGCATAGCTTGGGGTCCATGGCTGCTCTGTCAGGGACACGTGTGGCCTGGGAACCATAGCCGCTGTGCAGGAACACACATGGCCCGGGACCACAGTGGCCGTGTCAGGGACATCAGTGACTCTCAAGCAGCCCAGGTGACATTGGCAAAGTTGCTTGTGCCCAGGATGAATGCATGGAGCCAGGTCACCTCTGCTGCCTACACTGGGATGGGCACAGAGCAGAGGACTGATGAGGCCCACATCCACCCCATCGCATGGTCCTCCCAGCCCCTTCCCATTGGCCGAGTCCCCGAATCTGCACAGCAGCACTGTGAGGGCAGCTGTGGAAATTCTGGGCCTTGGTTTCTGCATATATAAGATGGGATCCCCAATTCTTCCTACCTCCTTGGGTGGTATGAGGGCTGAACGAGTTAATCCACCTAGCAGGTGTAGCACAGAGCCTAGTGGGGTATCCGAGGCACAGAGCCAAGCACTCCCCACAAGGACCTCAGCAAAGCCAGAATCTGCACCTGGGCGGTGCTGAGGTCAGCTCCATTTATTCCCTGAAGATCAGCGGGGACCCCAGGATGCTGCTGCTCTCACACCACCCTCAGGACCTCTGCTCACTCTCTGGAAGGTCTGGGTCCTGACTTGCTGAGGTGCTTGGCCAGCCACGGCCTCTCTCATGGCCTGTCTCCTAGCTGAGGGTGTAAGGCCTCCAGGGGCCTGAGGCTCCCTGTGCCATGGGCAGGGTCACAGTCTCTGGGCTCTGCCAGCTTGTGTGGCCTTGGCTGTGACTCCATGGCATGGCTAGAGTAGTGGCATCCACTGTAGAGCCAGGATTCCATCATAGTTACACAGACAGATGGGCCTCCACTGTGAGGCCCTACAATGGTCATTCTCACGGGGCGGGAACCTGGGGTTGGACAGGGTCTACAGTCAGGCTCCTGGGTTCAGCCCAAGGCCTGCCACTCGATCCACATGACCTGTGTAGTGGGCTGAATGATGGCCCCAAGAGATATTTCCACCTGGAACCTATGATTGTGTCCTTACTTAGAAAAAGGGTCTTTGTAGATGTAATCAAGTTAGAATCTCAAGATGAGACCATCATGGATCATCCAGTGGGACCTAAATCCAATGACAAATGTTCTTATAAGAGACACGCAGAGGAGAGACTCAAGGAAAAAGACTGTGTGAGGACAGAGGCAGAGATGGAGTGATGCAGCTGGGAGGAGGCTGCGCCAGGCCCCCAAGAGCTGGGAGAGGCAGGAAGGGCCCTGATGACACATGGATTTGGGACTTCTGGCCCCAGAACTGTGAGAGAACAGGTTTCTGATGTTTTAAGGCACCAAGGTTGTACAAATTTGTCAGGGCTGCCCTGGGAGAATCACACCTGCATGCTACCCCCTCCCCCACCTCGGTGTCCTCATTGGACAAGGGGATGGTGGTGGCCATGCCCTCAGATGGCAGCACCTCCCTAGGCCGCATAACCTCTGCTTGGGAAGGCCAGGCTACTTTATGCCTCAGGTGCCACCCAGGCTGCCTGGGCCCACAGAGGCCTCACGTGGCCTGGCCTGGTCCCTGAGCAAGCGCTGCTGTGGCGGGCCCACTTCCTGGAGCCCCGATTGGGCAGGCTGTGGCCTTAATGGGCCCGATTATCAGATAACTGCCGGCCTAATGGCAGAGATAACATGTAAATATGCCAGGAGGCCTAGCTAAAACGTTCTAACTGGGTCCTTGTCTTCCCCAGGGCAGATAAGATGGCAGGAGACCAGGGTGAGGCCGAGGAAGCCAGCACCCCTTTATCAGCCCCACAAAGAGGGGGGCAGAGGCTGGTTCTGTCACTTTGTGGCCTGGCCACAAGGGTCTGAGTCCTCTGCCAGCCCACCTAGGATGCCTGGGTCCCGGCCCATGGGCCACTTCCTCCCCTGGCCCTCAGGAATCAGTGCTGAGGGGCCGAGTAAGAGCTGGCTAGGCATCAGGGACAGGAGTGTGGCCTGGCGACATGCAGTCATTCAATTCTGCCCAAGCGGTCCTATAAAGCTGGTCTTCTCTTTATGGCCCCCTGTACAGATGAAGAAACGGAGGCCCTGAGAGGACACACAGCTGGCAGCGGGATGCCAGGATCTGAATGCAGGCTGCCAGGCGCCAGATGCTGGCCCAGGGGCCTGGCCCCTTGTGTCCTGGGTGTATCTGGGTCTCTGGTCCTCCACCTGGCTGGCCCTCAGGGGTGAGGGGGGGTGAGGGAGAGATGGCGATGAAGAGGCTGTTTAGAGATGAGCCCACTGGGCACTCATTTGTCCATCCATGTGTTTGTCTGTCTAGCCATCTGACAGGTCCATGTGTTGCTTCTGAGGCTGGCAGGGAGCTAACAATGGGCTGAGCCTGTGCACTGCCCTCTCGGGGCAGTAGGATCAAGGAGGAAGCATCCAGAATCCTAACACAATGGCTTACCCCTACCCTGACAACCAGGTACACACTAAGCCACACAGGGGTTGGCCAGCACTTGGGCCTCTTAACAGGGTTGCCCACTTGTTCCTCTGGGTACTAGTTCTGCTGAGGCCACAGACAGGTCAGGTACAGTGGCAATGGCTCCCTCTGTTTCCATATATTTTCTTTTCTATGTGCAGAATGTTCATGAAGGAGTCGTTCCTGGCCTTGTCGGTCATGGAGTCCCCATGAGGAGATGCCTTCCACCTGAGGCTGGTGCCCACCTTCCTGTCAGAGGAGGAACTCAGAATTCAACTCAGTCTTCCCACGTGTAGGCTGAGACTTGGGGACACAGAAGGGGAGGAAGGCAGCTGGCCCAGGCCACCCAGTGAGCAACAGAAAGAGTAGGGCAGCCCCAGGCCTCCCAGTCTGCCCCTGCTTGGCATACCTATGGGGGCCTATGGTCCCTTTTCCCAGAGCCCTGGCTCTGGTTGCCCCCACCTGCCCACACATGCACCCACAGGCAAACGGCCATGCTCCCTAATCGGAGCCCCACGGCTGGCAGGCCGAGCCTCCTAGATAACAGCAGGGCTGGTGTTTCCCACGGCAGCCGCTCCATCTCTGGGTATCATGCATTGCCAGAGAGGGCTGGCTCCTGATAAAGGCAGCCGTTCTGCCCGGCTGGAGACAGAACCCACCACTCAGGGCTTGGCAGGGGCTGGTCAAGGCCTGGGAAAGGTGGAGAGGCCGGGGAACGGAGGGACCTGGGCCGGGGATTGGTAATGGTCACCATGACAATCCACCTCCCTGGTCTAGGGGAAGCTGTTTCAGGTGCACCCTGTGGGTAGGTACAGAGCCATGGCAGGTGCCTGGCTTGGTGAGAGGAACATGGCTGGATTTAAGCCCAGCTTACCCAGTACCCTTGTGCAGTGTACAGCCTGTGCAACTGTCCACGGTGGCCCTAGTGATGGTCAATGCCTATCTGTTCAGATAACCTATTTTCAGCTCACAGATCCAGCCCAAACCCTTCCATGGCTGAAAAGGGGTAAAGCAAGTGTTAAAACCCCATTAGCACCGAGCAGAGACCCTCTCCCAAAGAAGTAAAACTGCATTAGAAGAGTGAGGGTGGGTGGGACCACTTACTCCTGGCAGACTAGGTATCTCATGAGGGCTCAGTTCAAGGCCAAGAATGAATGAAAGAAGAAATTAGCAAGGGTGAGGGGCTAAGGGGTGGGAGACACTGAGCCAGGGGTGACAGCTGATAGGGAAAGTGACAGGCAGGAAAATGCAGTTATTTTTAAACAGCCTCTGCAAGAGCTGGAGGATCCAGACAGTGGTCGCTGTACAGATGGCCAGTTCTCAACCACACAGATAGGAAACCCAGGGCCCAGGGAGGCCCAGGAGCACCCAAGCCACACTGCGAGCTCAGGGTAAAGGTAGGACTGGAACCCAGGTCTCTGGACTTGTGGCTTAGTGCTCACTTAGTCACCAAACCCCGTGTGGGCACCTGGGGCAAGGACAAAGAAGGCACAGTGTCTGCCCTCCAGGGCTTCCAGGAAACACAGGTGGCAACATCTCTAATGATGGGCCAGTCAAGGGAGGCTTCTAGGTGGAGGTTCCTTCCCCCTCCACAGAAGCTTCCTGTGACCCATATCTCTGCTTCCTCCTGTCCACCTCCAGAGCAGCTGGGGCAAGAGAGGCACAGAGAGATACCAGCTCAGCCAGGTGCTGGCCAACTCTTCCCTATTCTATCTACCCTGGTCCCTGGCCCTCAGCCATTTGTCCCAAGAAGTCACAATCCTCACATGATTTCTGGCCACTTACTGAGCCTCAGCCAAGGGCCTGGCACAATTTACAGGGATTCCTCCCAGCCACAGTGAACTTATTCCCCAGTGTACAGAGCGGGAGAGTGCGGCTCAGAGAGGTTAAGCAACCAGTCCAAGGTACACAGTTAAGTAGGTGGGAATTGAATTAGCGCTCCAGCCATGGTCATGGTCATGGTCAGGGCCTTAATTCTCTTTTTTGGGCTGAGGCAGGAAGCGATAGAGAAAACAGAGGATAGAGAGGCTGTTGGAGAGGAGGTTGGGGGGGTACAGAGGGCCAGCTCTGAGCTCTCGTCCCATGGCTGACTTCCTGCTCTGTCCTCAGTTTCCCCACTTACAGATGGCTTCCTCTGGGGGTGGGGCAGGCCCTGCTGCCTGGGTGGACCTCTCACCCCCATGGGGGTCAGGCCATCACTATAGGCACAGCATCAGGACAAAGATTAATTTATTCTGGCAAACAACCCCACACACATTATTTCC